GGAATGACTGTGCCGTGTGCTTCTTTTGTACACATAGAAGACCCTTTCGAAGAAGGAACCTTTAACTGGTTTATCTATGTCCTCTCCAGTAACTGGGTTCAACACATCTTACTGTCCATCATAACAGCAAGTTTTATATAACGAAGGATAGCTGTATGATGTGGAAAGCACTAATTATACATTTTTAATGATATGTTGATACTCTGCAAGCTGAGTTCACAAATTAAGGGCCGAGAAGAGAAAAAGCACAAAAATGTGAGCAGCTACTGAAAGAAAATATGTGATCTCCTTCTGGCTTTAATGAAAAAAAAAAGATTGCACATCTTCATCTGAAAGGCATCACTACTAAAACAAGCAAATACATACACACCATCCTCACCATGCCAAAAGGGAAGATTTCAAGTGTGAAAGGACGCAAGGAGGCAGCTGTTAAGTAACCAATATATTTGCTGTAACATAAAACTTTGTGCTCAAGGGACAACATACGGTACATTTCTGTAAAAGTAGATGGGTTCAGATTTATCCTTAAGAATTAGTTTAAAAATAAAGACAACGTAGAACCTAGTGACTGATGTATGCACTATACCTTATCCCACCAGTTTGGAAAACAAAAACAGGCTATTATTTATGAAACAGAAACTGGAATCTAATGAACAGCTATAGGAAGGCAGTATTAAACACCTACCTACTAGCTGGCTTTGACTATACAGTACTGTACAAAAATCAGGTCACCTGTAACCCTGTCTACATGCAAACTAAGCATTCTTACTTGTTCCTGCTATCCTAAACTTGCAAGAGTTTGCAAACACATGATAATGTTCTGCTAACTGCTTTGTCAAAGGCTATGAATGAACAACTCTGCAAATAGCTTGTGCTACCACAGAGCAAGATTTTGAAGCAGCCAACATTCAATAGTTAGTGAGCTCATGCCATCTTCAAACAACAACATATTTTTGTGTCTTGGCAGAAATAATGAGGGGAAAGAAAAGGAAAAATCCTGCAGGTGTTTAATAACTGATAGATTTAATTATGAGCTTCTGTAGATAAAAATCCACTTCTTTAGAAGTGCCAATACAGTGGGGTCTCTACTTAAGAACATCCCTACTTAAGAACAATCCAACTTAAGAACAGCTCCATTTGCTAAATTTTGCTTCTACTTGAGAAGAGAAACCCAAGATAAGAACAGGAAAAAAAACCTTTCCTGCTCTTTTTTTAACCTTAGGTCATCTTAGGTTAAAAAAAATCTCCCCCTAGTGGTAGAGTATGTATTAACCAGCTTTGCATTAGTTCCTATGGGAACTAATGCTTCAATGTACAACGCACCTCTACATAACAAAAAAACAGCCAGAACGGATTAATTGGTTTTCAGTCCATTCCTATGGGAAATTTTGCTTCAACTTAAGAACGTTTCAACTTAAGAACACCATTCCAAAACGGATTAAGTTCTTAAGTAGAGGTTCCACTGTAGTTTCTATGGACAGAAAAGAGCAGATACTGATTAAATGGTTTTCAATGCATTCCTATGGGAAATGCAGATTCAACATAAGAACTTTTCAACTTGAGAACCACCTTCCAATACGGATTAAGTTCTTAAGTAGAGACCCCACTCACATGCCCTGTATTTATTCCCATGGTAGTGAGAACCATGTCCCAGAAAGAAGACAGAATCTAGTCAAGATAACAATGGCCCATTAACACAAGAATTGACTTATCATCACAGGGCCTGTCTAGACTGGCCGTTTCGGGTGCAGGGCAGATCAGGCTACAAGGCGTCTACTGATGTGGTGGTGGGAGCGATCGGCCATTTGGTGTACCTCCTGTCCCCACAGCAAACTAATCCTTGTAACCTGATCATCTATCAATTACAGTGGTGCCTCGCATAACGAGCGCACCGTTCAACGACGAATTCGCATAGCGATCTATTTTTTTAGATCGCTAATGCGATCGCATTGTGATGTTTTAATGGGTAAAACATCACATTGCGATGATCGGTAACCGTTTCTCTTACCAATCTTCGCATTGCGATGTTTCTAAAACAGCTGATCAGCGGTTCCAAAATGACCGCCGAGTGCCCAAAATGGCCGCCGCAACCATTTTCGCGCCCTGCCCTCGCTTACCGAGGGAGCGAAAATGGCAGCGCTATGGCTGACAGAGGATGTGGTGGTTGGACAGTGTCATCGAAGCAACCAACATGAATTTGACCCAACTCTGGGAGGCAGTGGAAGACAGGAGGGCCTGGCGTGCTCTGGTCCATGGGGTCACAAAGAGTCAGACATGACTTAACGACTAAACGACATCAACATTCTCCATCCTCCCTTTTAATGTCACAATCCACCTAATACATCACAGGGTTGTCTCCTGTTAAAGCTGTGTCTTTTTGGTCAAAGTATCTGTCTGTAAAGGCTAAACAAAAGCTATTTTGCATTCCAATGAATTGTGACCGGATGGCCTAGCCCTATGTCAGTTTAGTGCAGTACAACCCTTAAAGGGATAGGATGGGTCATTCTAAGTAGAACCACAAGCAGGTGACGTCTTTTCTTTCACGCCAAAGATCATCATTAAGATGCCATATATCATAACCATACGCCAGTGTGGACAGGCTCACAGACTCAAGGTTGAGGACTTATCCCTTGCTTCCCCAAACACTAGATCTGAAAATGAGGGGATTTATTCACCATTCCTCATTTCTACATACACATACATACACCCACCATTTTAGCACACAAGAAACCACACAAGAATCAATTTTAGCTTGCCCGCCTCTAGATACCTACAGCTAAGCCCTCTGTCCTCTGCCAGTCTTGCCTTCCCTTTGGTTTTGTAGTAGTGGGGGGAGGACACTGGCCCATTGCTATGGTGATCCAGTAATATTATTTCTATTGTGCCAGTGTCACAGGATTCCTCATCACCATGGTGATTTGAGACGCTGCAGTTCTTTACACCAGCATCCCAGAGTTCCAACCACAGCAGATGGGGAGCTGGGCCTCAACGCCACAACACAGGCCAAGCGTGATGAATGTCAGACAGAAGGTCATGTTACATTCACCAGTGGAATACAAGAATGATCTCCCTGCAATAATTAACCTTCAGCTGGCTCTAACCCATAGAGCTTCCTTCATGAACTTCAACTGCAGGTTCTTAGAGGCTGGCGGTGGTGCAAGCGTTGGGGCAAACCCAAAATAAAGAGGTGCACACTCAAGCCAAGACACAAATTATCACTGGAAGACCATTTTGGCAGCAACCCCATGGCAAGCATAACACATTTTCCAGCGTTTACTAGAACCAAGTTCTAATGAAGTGTTTGAAATAATATCGATTTGATTGCCTAAACATATCACCCTATTTTTTTGACAGTGGCTTAACTTAAGTCACAAAACTAAACTCTAACTAAGATATATACTTAATGCATTTATACCCCAAATTAACCCATACCTTAATAACAGAGACCTCTATCTCAGTCCCATTTCAATACCCAAAATCAATTCAGAATCATCAAAACGAAACCATCTTTGAGGTAAGGTAGGATTTAAAAATGGCTGCTGCCTCACAGCAAGGGAATCTACTCTGCCTAGAAAACTGACATAGTTCAAGCCCGGGCATTTATTTTCTGGGAACAATGGGCAAAATCCAACTTATGCAAGCTCACTCCTGCTTGAGTGACGGGAGTTTCCTCTCAACAACTTCACAAAGCAATGCCCTTCCTTTATGAATATGCCTTTAGTAATACACTTTCTATTGCGCAAGACACCAGGAAGTTGTTGAACTGACATTCAAATAGTCATATCTAGTCCAAAGCAATTGGCTACCTGAGGCAATAGACCAGATGACCTCCTTTCCTACATACAGAATTCAACCAGAGAGGCTGTCCAATTCTCAAGACTGGCAACAGGCTAGTTTGGGTTATGCATGATAGACTGTATGGTCACCACCGTTCTGCCTTCTAACATTTCACAGCTACTTTCTACAGCTGCTTTCATGTGCCTGCTGCCTAAGGGAGCCACGTCGCCTTGCTGAAATGTAGGGCCACCCCATTCTAATGTGCAGTGTTTGGTTTGTTACATGCTGCCACATCATGCCCACCTATTAGGGTAACCCTAAAAGGGTTTTCAACTTGACTCACCTTCAGGGCCAGCACAAGACTTCTGCTGCCTAAGGCAGAGCAGGAAATGATCTCTCCCTCATTCCCAGCCCACCCAGATCAAGATGCAGAGCATCCAAAGCTGGGCAAGTTA